ATGCAACGAAATTTATAAGAATTCTTATTGTAAATTTTATGACTACTATTCAGTCGAAAATTGTTTTTAGCTTGAACAAATTGTATTAATTTGTGGTCTAGTGTGCAAAAATAAGGCAATTAAAATGTCGGTAAAATTTTGTCAATGATTTCAAAAGGTTTAAGTTCCATTATTTTCTAACTACATTTTTTACAGCCGAATTAGAATTACTTTCATAGCAATAATCCTATGTTTTCACTCGTTTGTAGTGTTATCTGATGCAACCGGTTATCTTCACTTCCATGGAGTCCATCACCTTATAAAGGTGATGGACTTACCTCCTTTACCTTACTACACTCACCTTATAAACCGCAGGGAAAGCTCGACTTGAACATTAAAGTGAATTATTATATTATTTACGAAACAAATTCAGTAAAAGGAAATCAAATTCAGTAAAAGGAATCCAGACTTCGTTTTGCGAAGCCTCATGATTTCTCTGACATAATATTTTTGGTGGAGATGGAAGTGCGATCATATATCTCTTATTTATAAACGTTTCCAGACTTACAATGGATAGGCACAGAAGTAAATACACAAACAAACAAACTTTAGAAATATCTAGTAAATCATTTACCAAATCTCAAGATCGTGTTTGAATGGCCAACGAATGATATCACAATAAAATATTCCTAATTCTCGAGTAAGGCAATGACATCGTTTAACGTCGATTTATTCATTGTTCAAGTATTGATTAGATGAAATTTCTAATTTTAAGTGCAATTAAGTCAAATATTTCTTTAAGTATTTATTAAAGTCATAAATAAAACATTTTGTTTCCTAAATGTTGCCCTTAACAATAATGTTTGATATAATAAATGTCTTTCCGCAGATTATTTCATATGCACGTCCTCGATCACGTACTGGGCTCACCAAAGATTTGAACAATGTTTGCATGTCATCAGATCGTTTTTTAATTGTCTTTCTTTAGTCAACCGAATCCTCCACTGCCTAATAATTTTTTTCTATTTCCGCCCTTTCAATAGATCAAGATCTATTGAAATGGCGAAATCTCTCAAGATCTCATGAAATGGATTTCAAGAGATCAATATCCAAAATGTTATCCCTGATTCAGCTGTTTGGTGATGAATGAATCGAACCTCTTTGTTAAATTATTTAAATTTTTTTTACTGAATGATTGTGATTAGATAGAATAAATGCATTATGTACAACCCTGTTAAAACTTGGGAGGATGAATCGAAATTTAGTTCTAATTAACAACCTGCCAAGAGATGCTTCACGCGGAGAGCTTTTTTGGTCCGATATCTTATGGCCTTCATTCCTTAGCAAGAAGATTCCGTTGCACCAGAAATAATTAAGTTGAACCAAATCTTTATCTTACAACTATGGTGGTCTCTTTTTTGAGCCGATACGTTTATGGTGAATTTTTACTTATGGTTTAGTTAACTTCAAAAATAAAAGTTTTAAATAAGTTGTTCTTTTTATCAAATAATCATGAGGCCCTGACTGGTTATCTGCATTTCTCATCTGGAATTCGATATTAATTTCATCAATTAAATTAGTTGAATTAGCTTGCTTGCTTCATGTAGTAGGCTTATTGAACCCCCGAACCTATGAGAAGTACATTCAATTACGAAGAAAAATAATCTCATGCTGCTAGAAAGGAACTTGTTATTATTACCTCAAATCATACTATGTTGTTTCTCAAACTTGTTGGGTCGTGAAATTCACATAAATTTGTGCGAGATGAATTTTTCTTGTCTCACACGGAACGTTATGTAACGTTGACGACAAATTATTTCATTTGTCATCAATGCAATGTTGAAGAATTTTGCAATTTAGAAAAATTTTAATTCCCACTTTACTACAGCGGAACTGCCTTGTGTTAATTTTATGCATATTAATTTCCATCTCCATTTAGTTTTTATACACGTGAGCATAAGCGCAGTTTATGTATACCGTTCAGTCAATATTCGACGAGCCGATCAGTCAAGTCGTAGGAAGAAAATAAAACTAAGAATTCATTAACAACTGCATTCATTTTTTTTCATGCTTCAAATGTACAAATCTAATATTGAAAATGGAACTTAAGGAGGCCTTGCGCAATGCTTCCAGTTTCAATGCCCAATTTCGCAGCTTTTAACCGGCTTTTAAGTAGAAATGTAATGAAATAAGTTGGAGCAAAACACTAATTTCGACTCAAAAAATCGTATTTAGAGGATGCTTTATAAGATTAGAAATTATCTACCTGTAACCACGTGGTCACAAGAATGCTTTTGAACTTTTTATTGAGCAATATTATTTTTATATAACTATTACAGTAGCTTAACTAACGCGAAAGCCGTGCGATTGCGACTTTGAACATTTTAACACACACCATTATAATATTAACTATGATTTGGTGCATTCTTAGAGCACTCAGCCTGGTTACAGTTAAGGAAAACTTTATATTTGTACTGAACATTATTTGTAACCCGTCTCAGCGAAGCAGTATTTTCCATTTTTTTTGTGATAGAGTACCAAAAAGAGGCCCGTTAAATTAAAACACACAATTGCGTACTACCAATACCACATATAAGCAGCTACTATGAAAAGCATTAGTAGCTAATATGTGGTATTATCTGAATTTCATGTGACTTTATATTTTTACTAGATGAAAATTATGCGTACTGTTTGTATTTATTAGCGGGCAGCTGAATCAAGAAAATGGCAACTACGAAAATCATACCTTGAATGTTTTTTGTTGGGAAGTAAACATTATTGTGAAGTATAAAATTGGATACTGAAAATTATTTACGAAACCAGAAGTGCCGCCAACCACCTGAGTTAGAGGCAATCGCTTACATGTTACCCGTACTACAAATTTGGAACCACTGCATAAGAGAAAGTCAAGACAATAAATGGTTCAAGGCATTCAGAAAAATTAAAGACCCATTTTGTCAAAATATCGACTCACTTTTCTTCTCACAACACGAGCAGAGAGCTAACAGATACACCCTTTCGCCTAGGCAGAGTTGGTCAGTGTGACCGACAAAGGCATAAAACGTGCATCGGCATTGCAATGTATGTACATGCAAGCCACTACTAATCCAATTTAAAGTTCACGATACGATACATTTCCCGTAAATTGCCACCTATCAGATGCTCACTATTCGTCAGACAAAATAATCACATGCGGTAATTTAACTATTTTAGCTCATATCATATGCGGTAATTCAACTATTTTAACTCGTATCACATGCGGTAATTTAACTATTTTAACTCATATCACATGATGTAATTAAATTATTATAACTCATATTGCATGCGGTAAATAAACTATTATACCTCATAATCATTAAGTATGTATATTACAATGGGAAATTCACCCTGGTAGAAGACGAATTTTCCCGCATTGCAGGTACGCAAAAAATTTGGCCATTTCACTAAATTTCTAGCAGCATTTTTCAGCCGCCTGGCAGCGCAGACAGCAGCAAATGATGTGAAGATGGACACAAATATAAAATACGGTCATTCAATTATGGGTAAATGAGTAAGCATATACCAAGCAAAAAAAGGTTTTCATATTAAGTTTGAAGGAATACTAAGGTAGAATACGGTAATCGAATTATGGAGAAGTAAATCTAAAATTCGGGTACTAAATCATGGACGCTTTCACAATAAGGTAGTATACGGTTACTAAATCTTGGACAAGTGATACATAACAAAAATGCGGGATAAAATCTTGGATAAGAGAATACTGAATACAATTTGATCATATAATCAATAAGTGAATGTTGGGCTGAAATATTAAAGGGAGCGTCTGGGTCCAAAGGTCGAAATTTCAGCTTTTCCGGTTTTTAGGCTCATATTAAAGCTTACTTTCTGACGCATCGAACGGTACTAGAACCATCTCTGTACGTTGATTTATGCGTTCGCGACAGATCCCGTAAGGGGAGGACGTGTCCGGGGCCCCTTCAGTAAAGTTAAGGCGGAAATTACCCGGCCGGGCACCATAAAGGGGATCGGCTGATGTAAAGCGGCCAATTATGACATTCTCCGGTTCTTATATTCATCTTAAAGCTTATTTTCTGCTGCAACGAACGGTACTAGAATCATCTCTATACGTTGATTTTTGCGTTCACGACAGACCCCTTAAGGGAGGAAGGGGGTGGGGGGCCTTCAGTAATTCCAAAAGGGGAAAATAACTATAAAATGTTCTCTCCACTCGGCTAGAGCTCAGTAACCTCACAGACAGCACGCGGGACGGTGTTCATTTAGTGGCTCCATGCACCGATGACTGACTTTGAAGTGAGTTGATGCTTACTTTTTGTATCTAGGCTACTTTACGTGCCAACGCGGCGGTTTTTTGCCTCTACTGAAAAGTTGCCAAAGCTGAAAACCTCTCTCATGGCAATCCTATCTCCTCCTACAGTTTTGAAGCTACAGCAATGAGACATATACCATTCGATTTGGAAAGGAAAGATCTACAAACGTCACTTGGTCGTTCTTCCAATTTCGTTATAGTTCGGATTTTATTTTGCAAAAAGTGGGGAAGGGCGAGTGTAAAATCGAAAATTTCGAAATATATCGGAAAAATGAGAAATCCAAAATACCGCCACGTGACGTTTTTAGATATGGTCTTTACGTATCGAACGATATGTGTCTCGATGTTGCACCTTGAAAATCTTAGGAGGAGATAGATTTATACGGTCCACTTTTTTTAGCCGTTATCTAAGAATTTCACGTGTTTAGCGCATTTTCTCATTTATGGAAAAAATGCACTATTGTGCTCGCCATGTCCGTCTGTCTGTCTGTCTGTCCGTCCGTCCGTGACCTCAAGTTTTCGGCGACGAGAAAATGCGCTCTCTGTCACTCACTGCAGTGAGTACCGAGTTATATTTTTTTTATTTTTTTTTCGAAAAATTCACATGAACAAAAAAGTCTTAGATTTCTGTTTTACATATGTGTACCAAGTTTCAGAGTGATCAGGCTGTAAATAGCCGAGATAAATTTTACCCCAGACGCTCCCCCTAAGCTAAAATATAACCAAAAAAATTGACTGACAATTACTAAGTGGAAACATAGTCAAAAGCTATGAGTGGGTGGAGTATGAGCTCCGATACATAAATAAATCATTTGAAGAAGATACTACGTTGAACGAGGCTAAAAATATTATGCGTAGTTTAGTACTAAGCTAATATTTAGTCAACAAATCGCGAGGATGAAAATACTAAATAGAAATATGAGAAAATAAGTATAGGTGAATAATACGGTCGTCAAATCTAGAGTGCGGAAAATAATAAGCTGAAATACGGTCATCAAAAATGATGAGTTTATGAATGCTATGAATGCTACAGAAAAGCATCTATTTGGTGAACAAACCGTGGTTTGAGAAGTCAGTGCTGTCTTCACTCGGTAAATCTAGTCAGTGCAGCAATCTGTCGGTAAATCATCATTACTTTATATCCCATTATCCGCAAACGGGATAAGTCAGCGAATTTCAAGAAATTTCTTCTGCTGACACGAATCGTCAAAAATAACTGAACTGCTTTTAATTGTGAAGCTTCTACAGTAAAATACCATTTATATGAATCAATCCCGCGGTAGTGTTATAAACATTAAATTCCTCATTTTGGTGAGTATTCTTCAACACCAGTATTATTATTGTTAATAATGCATCAATATTTTGTAAGCATAATCCGCAATTGTCAGAGCTGTAGGCATCACTTTCATGGGACCTTATTCTATTAACGATGTAGTAATGATTAAATCTTGTCAATGTTGTTGCTGCTGCGACGTTTCGTAGTCTCCGTTGAAGACGCCATTTACGTAGCGAAGACTATAATTAGCAGCCCAAGAAGTGCAGCGGCAGCCGAGAGTTCTGAAAATGAGATATTACAGAGGAAACTTTTGGAGGGCTAAAAGATCTTTCTATCAATGGATGAGCTCAATATGTTGCCCATTCTATATATCTCGTGTTCAAGAATCATGATCTAACACATATGTTACGGGTTTACACCCTGTCAAAATTTTCGTGCCGATTAAGGTCGTTTTAGAGGAACTATATTCGGCTTAGGGGTGAATCAGGAGCACCCTGTCAAAATTTTCGTGCCGATTAAGGTCGTTTTAGAGGAACTATATTCGGCTTAGGGGTGAATCAGGAGCAAGTCGGCCACGTAGGGTGTTTTGCTTCTATTTACCAGCCTCTTTTGGAAGTCAATTGCCCGGTAGGCCAAATCTGCGTAATATGCNTGGTAGACTGCTCTGATCTTAAAACTGAGCGAGTAGTGCAATATAGACTGCATATATATATAACTTACAGAGATTGAAATGCCCCCTCCCTTCCCCCCATAAGGGGGGGAAGGGAGGGGGCATTTTTTTAAAGCATTTTTCATATTCGGCCGTGTCTGTCCCGAACGTATCAGGTACCAATTACGCACGCCCCACGATCGCCCCAAGCTCGATGAGTAGTTACACAAGATTCCATTTCGGCGCTTATTTTGCAACGGCAACCGGAACCTAAAGCGGACATAGAGCTTCTAATTTACCCTGTCATAAGAATTTGGGGCGTCCGTGTGCCAGCAGCTGACAGGTCTTCGAATTTCGATAGGGCAGTCACCATCAATATGGATCCAGTTGCAACTTATATGCCTGCTTAGTGAAATAATTTTCTTGCTTCATTTGAACAAAATTAAGGTTTTCATTTCACTCAACTTCAGAGTGTGCTGGAAGGTCCAAGCTATGACAATCATAAGATTGAAATTGAAATAACCAGTACCATACATCATAATTGTGGAGGAATAGTTTACTAAACAAGGCATTGAACCATGAAGTGGAGAGGGTACACGAAAATAATACGCCAGTATTCAGAGAAATAAGTGAGACATTTTACGAATTGCAATACGCTTTTTGCTCTTGTGTGGGCCAATATCGACCCAGATTGACCCTGCAAAGAAGCATTCTACAGTGAAATTTTTTTATTCTCTGCTGGTGCTACGGATAAGAAAGTTTCCCACTATATGGCCAATATTATCCATTCATTCTTCTGAGTTTCATGTATGGGTTTTATTCTAAATGTCCTTTCCGAAAACGTCAAATCCGGGGCCACCTGCTCCACTTCAGGTCTGAACTATACCGGCCTCATACTCCTGGCCTCAACTATACAGGCCTCATCCTCCTGGCCTCTCCGGCCTATACTGGCCTCATCTTTCAGGCCTCTACTATACTGGCCTACTCCTCTTGGCCTGTACTATATGGGCATCATCCTCCAGGCCTCTTCAATACTGGCTTAATCCTCTTGGGGGCAGGTTCTGAAGCCTGCAGTCTTGTCAGGGCCTCATTCACTGTTAAACCCACCTCATTTTAATCTCTAAAGTCAGGCAAGTACAACTGATGCATGGCATAGGTCTCACCTCGTCTGCAGGAGGCACCAATCTCATGGCCCCTCATGGCTTCCTCCAGAGCTGCCTTCTGTTCATCCCAAAGTTTCTCCCGGATGGCAGGGCTCATGGCCATCGCTGTCGTGGGAGGAAGACTGCGCAGCTGCGAGGGATCCATCCCCTATAATAACCAACATGAGTTATAGAGTAATTAAATGAGCACAGAACTGAAACCTGCAATTGGCAAACTTTTTACACAAAGAACACATAACTGTACATTACGTGTTTTAACATCCGGATACCCTGCAATAGGCGAGTGTTCCACTCGTAGCCTGCACCCCACAATTCGCGTGCCCCACTTACCTTGATGGCTTCGCTAGACATGGCGCGCATAGCGGCTGGCGTGACACCGGCGAAGGAGCTTGAGTCAAGAATTCTGATCTTCCTTGGTTCAATCCCAGCGAACACCACGCCCATCTCCCGCACCTGAGATGCGACGTCGTAAGTAACATACGACATCGAAACTAACGTAAGATTAAACTTAACTCTTAACTTAGAAACTCTTAATCTCTATCACCTGATATTCGGGGTCGTAAACTGGAACTGACTTTAACAGAACCTGGGTCCGGAGCAAAATTAATTTGAGGTAAATTCAAGCATGTGGTTCCCAAAATATCGATAGTGAAAGATCATTTATTGCTTGTTATGGCAAAAGGAAAATAATTTATCATTAAATGAAGCATACTCGAAAATAAAAAAAATTTGCCACTTATTGAACTGACGCAATTTAGCCCTTAATTTTGACACATATGATCAATTTTTAATTGTTGATTTGGTTTTGGTGTTACCACTATAAAAAAACTAGTTTTTCATTTGTGAACTTATAAAACATAAATAGGTAGATATTTCGAGGTTCTTCGAGCCTTATCCTCACAGACAGTATACGCAGATGCGTGAGAGGCAAACGTCTCATCCCTATAACACGTAACAATTATAATGACACATATTTTGTTTCATATATAAATTCGGATTACAATTTACCTATGTCTATGAAACCTTACACTAGTTTAAGATAAATAAGATATGTATTTGAATGGTCAGTTAAATAGTGCACCTTGCGTTATTAGTTGTTAGTAAATAAGCGGTGTTCGGGCACGAACAAGAAAAGGGCTATTGCAGAAAATAGGGCAATGCAATAAATTATGATATATAAAGCTCATAAATCAAATGTTATAAAAGCTGAATATATGCCTCATTCAAATAACAGTGTAACATATGTTGTCTAATTACAGAGCAATGCAAGTTAATGTTAGATATTTTGTACATGGAGTGAAACGACAACCGCGAAAGAAGTAAATTTACAGAAATCTAATTCAACTTCAATAATTAAAGAAAGATACTTTACACGAATTTCCCTGCAAAAAATATTCCGTCTGCCTTTGGCTGTTTATCAATCTAAAACGAATGATGGCAACAGAGCACGTCAATTATTGTAAGTTCTAGACGACCACTTTTTAGACCCAGACGACCCAAAACAAAATATTTGCCTTCTAGTTCTTCATAAATGTTAGATATTTTAGGAAATAAGTTATTGATGCCTTTCCATATTGATGCCTTTTCCGTAAATGGAAAATGATGTTGATGCCGTTTATTGATGCCTTTTTTCAGTTATTGATGCCTTTTCCATATGCCTTTTCCACATAGGCTACAGATGTCACGATGAGCGTATTTCACGGTTATTTTCTTGAGCGCTTAATTCTTAACAGGGACAAAAACTATTATTAATACGTCACCATATCTAAGTCTATATAACAAGCTGTGTTCTTAAGCAAGCTATACCTCCGCTCTAGACAACGGCCAGGTGTAGGAAGTGATCGCTTTCAAAGCAAGAGGCGCCAACACATCTTCTCTACTGCAGCCTTCCAGGGTGACGCCGAGGTAGGCAAGAGCGTACCTGGCGGAGGGAAGTGAGTAGAATATAGTACATGATCACGGTAGTGCAAGTTGAGATCGTATGGATCGATTTTGGATAGATGTAAACAATAGATGTTGACTGACATCAACTAACTCGTTAGCATTTGATTCAACAGAATAAAAATTAAATTGATTCTTAATTACTTATATTTTCTGAGATGGAAATTAATTACAAGACAAAGATAGACGGGCTTACCCGACACGCTCGTCACTGAGGGTGCTGATGGTGAATGGGTTGGTGGCGCACATCAGGCGGTTGAACATGGCGAGCTGAACGTCTGTCATGTTGGCCAGGGGCAGCCACGTCGTGAGCACCTTATCTGCATATGCTCGTAGCTGGCCAAGATCACGCAAGATTATGTAGGGTTTAAGTGATTAGTAGCAGAGCCGTAATAAAGTATAGTTCATTAGTTTCATATGTTTTGCAGACTCTGCGTAAAACATTCTACTTTCTTCTTTCTATTTAGTCAATTGTACTTTTGGGAAGGCATGCAGAATGATATCTAAACTTTCCTCATTAATATATTCACATTCAAATGAATAAAATTCATATAATAAAATTGCTTATAATATTATAATATAATAGCCCAGATTGATGGATATGGGAAATTATTATGGCACGTAATTTCAAAATCTCCAATAAATCAATAATCTAATCAGAAGGACGATAGGTTGTTAAAACGATGAAAATTAATTATTTAGATGAATTGAGTGCATTTGACTGATTATTTATTAATCTTCTAAGAATTTGCATGGGTCGAATAAAGTTGTATTTTGCCAATTTGCCAAAAAAGGGTAGAGAAGTTGACGGTACTAGGAATGTATTCTCAGCTTCTCACATTTTCATATATACTGACCATTCAATGATCATCGATATGAGTACACGAACTTCGGTAAGTTTTACTTAATGTCGGTGGCCAGATAATACCGTATATATATTAAGAAATGACATAATATACTTCAAGGTTGTTTAAAAATACATCTTAGGTTGTTGTAAACTTTCTCATTCGAAATGCTATATTATATAAATTCATCTCGCCTTCCTGTCGAATGGTTGCAAGCTATGGTTGATTGCAACGATCCAGTGTTGCTTATTAGAAGTTGAGGTTATTTGCCACTCATCATCTTTTATTTAATATTTGTTCGAATCGTTTGCCATATTTATTGGTTGCTTGTCCAATCATACATAGTCAAATACTCACCTGGTCATCGGTGAACTTCATCTTTTCGTTGCCCAAGACCGTGACTGTATCGTAGAAGGAGTTATTAGGTGACAGGGAGGGGAGATCACGAATTTCGTTGGCCGGGATGCCCTTCATGATGAAGTTCATATCACCCATGAGATCGTTCGTGAGGTTCGACCATGACCTCGTGCTCAGAGATTCTCGCACCTTGTTTGCCAGGATCTGTGGAGGTCGATCACAATTCTTGAGAATAAATAATTATAAAAAAAGTAAAAATTGTCGGGCGAGAGTAGATACGAGTTTGGGAGAGATCAGCAATCATTGGATAAGATTTGGGAAATAATAAGGGTGAGGATAAAAAAATGAACGGATAAAAGGCACTTTTTAAATAATATTGATATCTCACTATGTTGGGGGTCATCACAAACTGACGTCTCCCCGACACTTAGCACGTGATCGTTTTTCACTCAGCTTTTCTAGATCAAGGATTTTCAATGGATAAACAGTTGAAAGTAAATATAATTTACAATGAATAAATAGAAACAAACACAACAAACCTAACACCCTAATCCTAACCTAACCTAACAGTGCGTCTCATTCACTTCCAGTTATCTTCTCAGTTTTCAAGACCAAATATTGAGTTCAATTATTGAGGCCTCCACGGCAAGAACACTAGACACAATGATAGATAAAACGCAAAGCTGCTAGAGGTCACGGCTAAGGTGATTGAAAACTGAAAATGAAAAAACCAAAATCCTAAACCTAATACATAGCAACTTAAAAATCAGCAATAAATCTATTTCCTCTAAAACTATTGGATCAATTAATTTGTCCAATGAATTTGCCGGGAGGTTTATTTAAATTTGTCATAATATTGAATTATTTTCATTGTATCGTTCCAAAACCGACTTTACTTATTTTGTACTCTTTTAGGATAACGACGAAAAAACTATAATTTGCTGTGATTTTTTATAAAAACTTTAAAAAAGGTAAATGATGAGAAATAATTTCTGGTGATTCAACAACAAATCAAAGTAAAATTGAATAAATGCCCTAAAAAGAACAATGGAGACCGTTCCATTTTCATTGTTCTGTCGCCCTTGAGAAATTCATCTTTTCTGTAATATATTTAGTATCTTTTCCAGTCTAAAATATATGGCGTTTTGCTGTTTATCTAATTGAGTCAGGGTTTAGTCAGCGACGAGTGGACGAGACGTCCGGGTTTCATCTCCGCGGCATCGACGAAGTGTCCACTTTTTAAGCGCGTTCTATCGCCCTTGAGCAGCAAGCGGCCTCGGAATTTATCTTGGCTACGGCCAGACTAAAAGCGTTGACGCGGACACATGCCGACGCTTCAAGCAGAGCCTCCCATGAGGAAGCTTCTTTATCTCCACTCGAAATTTGTCCCTCCTCACTTTACACTTCTTCCTTGCTGATTCTTCCGAAAATGGGGAGCAAAAAAGAATCAATATATATAAATTTAATTTTGACTTAATTTTTTCATATATCTTGCAATGGGATCTTCGTATCGATCTTTGGTCTTACAATTCAGGATAAGAAAATCAACAGCTTCATCTATTGTTATAGAAACGTGCCAAGTTATTTGGAAGAAACTTCAACTTATATTTATGGGTTGAAGTTTCAGCATCCGACCTAGCCTACTCCGGCCTAGCCACTTCTGGCCTAACCCATTCACGCTGCACTGACTCACGACCTTCCTGCAGCCAATGACTAGCAATGGCAGTTCAGCATTCGACCTAACCTACTCTGACCTAGCCACTTCTGGCCTAACCCTCTCACGCTGCACTGACGTACGACCTTCCTGCAGCCAATGACTGACCCTAAATGCTCACTCGCCCCACCTTTCTAACTTCATGCAGCCACTGTGGTTAGGTTAGGTCCGCTCTGGTTTGTTTTGGGCGGAAAAATGGCAAAACGTGAGCATATTAGGATATAGGAGGTTAGGCCGAAGTAGGTTAGGTCAGGTGCAGTAGGAGCATTCTTAACTCGAGCATGGTTTTCCACCTGAATCTGGAAATATAGCGTTGTATGGCTTCAAGACCTTTTCTCCATAGGCTGCTATGCACTCCTAAGAGCTTACCCACGAAAACGTATATGAACTAAAGTGTGAAGTTGGGCAAAGATGGCCGCCGGCATTCACCCTAAGGAAGACCTGTTCTCTGGTAGATCAAATAAAGTAAATAACAGTGCAGAGTACAAAAAAAACTTGGGTTTTCATATTGGGACTGAATTGTTCTAAAAACTATTGCTACATTAAAGCTCAATCGGTGCCACCTGGGCTTTGGTGTTGTCCATATAGCGATCCCCAAGGGCAGCCAGGCACTGCATGATGTCTGCTGAGGACGCAGAGCTCAGCTCGTTGTTGCTGATGTCATCAGCGCCGCTCACCGCGGCGCGATTGCAGAGAGAGACGTCGCTCACAGCTGCACGAATATTACGACTAAGGCATGAAATAAAATATAACGACCCACTTTCCTTGAGAGGTTGGCGATAAAATATGATATTAATGTTGATATTTAAGAGCAATTGGGCAGAAAATGGAGTTATATTGACTATTGATCCAGTGAAGACATTTAGTTGTATTGTCTTCAACAAATCCGGTCGCTCGGCCGGATTTGTTTGCATGAGTGTGAAATTCTGAAATTCTCAGCATGAGTGTGAGATGCCTTGGCAATTTTCCATTATCACGAACGAATTGCGAAATGGCAGTCTACTCAATTTATCGTTTTTGCAAATGAAAATAGGTTCTTATGCTTCTTCACCTCTCTTCCTCCTTCCAGGAGGTTTGTAGCCGGGGATGGTGTAAGGGTCGAGGATGTCCAGCGCCGCCCAGGCCTGCACGCGCCGCACGTTGTCGCGCTGCCAGATCTCGACTTCGTAGTCCTCGCCGAGGTCGCTGCGGCACTCCACCTGAGGGAAGGACGTAAAATTACGAGTGGAAACGTTGTTGTGCGTCCGAGTAAAAGTAGTCCATTTCTCAAAGAAACGGCTTTCGTGTCCGAAAAAGTTAATAATGAGGCTTGGAAATTCATCAGTGAGATACCTGGCGGGCCTCGTCTTCGGGGGCGTATTGGATGATGTTAGCGATGGGGCACCGACAGGACATGAGGGCCCCGCGGGGGATGCGGCTCAGCGTCCCCGACGGCAGCGTGTACAGCAGGCAACACAGCCCCGACATATTCCGCCATGTCTGCGGGTCATCACTGGCGGAGAGAGGGAAAAAGATCAATTCCAAAGACGCATGTTAATTCGTTTTACTGAACTACGTAACTCCTGACATAAGGATTGAAGAATAATGGTAAGAGGTAATGTTCGTAGGTCATTTACCTGCATGATTAGTTATAATTTAAATATTTAACCAGAAAAGCGTTAGAAGACCATATCCCGAAATGTCTCACCATCGATGGCAATTCCTTACAAAATTCTCACAACTATGAAATAAAAGCATTCTAATCATGGGGGGTTATAGTAGATGAATTTACTTCACATTGACTGAAAAGAATAGTTCAGATATAGCAATTTATCTTTGAATTTCAACGTAAATGAAGCAATTCATCGTACTTAAATTACATAATAAATCAATTTGGTGAAATCCGTTTCTGCTCGCACAGAAATTCCTCCACTATTACGCTGTCACTTCCATCACAAAGGCATTGTGATAATTATAAAAATTAGTTGAGTTCCTTAATCATTTTGTTCATTTCCCAGAGCAGAAAAAAATTCTCGTGCAATTTCTTCCGGGTTTTCAATTTTTGACCCGACTTGCATCAATCGTCCATCAGTGATAGCCACTCACTCACCCTTTGTACTTGGTGATGAGGTTAGCGATGGCCGCTCGTCGTCCCCCGTCAAGACAAGGCATCAGGACGCTTGACGCCAGCGACTGGAAGTTTGCAGTAAAGGACACGATGAAAAAGTGGTCATCGTTTCGTCCATGAAGAAGAAAGTTTGGTACCCATAGTTATTTTCAAGGATTTAATCGTAATCTACCGGAATTAATAAAACTTAATTTTAAGCATCCGATGAAGTATGAAAATGTAAGAGCATCCATTCATTTCTCCGCCCTTATTCAAAACGATCAATTTTCCCCAGAACACGAAATTTCCCCAAATATCACATTTGCTCTCCACTTTCATTTTATTATTTTTCTTCTGTTCAAGCAATATCTTTCTTACCACAAGCTTCTTCATCGTATAATACAATAATTAAGAACTCATGTTAGGGTTTCATTCATAACCATAAATTAACAACTTCTTCTCTACCCAACTTCACATATTTTGCTCTTCCAACCCTGCAACGTCAAAGCAAATCTGATGATACGGGAGGTCAATAATCTTTGACAGGTTATATATGCGACTTCATTTCTTCCTCCTCATGAAAGATAACGAAAATCTATTGATGTCGGCCTCTTCATACAATTATTTTACCATTCACATTATTATTGGATGTCACACTTGTCACACTCTAGTGCCCGAAATAAGTATGTTCAACTTTGCATTACGTCCTTCGTTCTACAACATTTTCCTGAAAAATCCTCACATTGAAGAGACGCAGGGCGACTGGTGCGCCCTCAGTAGTTACGGCGTAGAGTAAGTCAGTTGGGAAGTACAGCAGAATTTCTCCGTACATGTTCACGTCCGCCCCTGTCAATACGCTCGGCCGTCCCTATTGAATCAATAAAAATCAGTGTACTAAATAGCATATAAATAGCATATCACTTTTCGGCATAATCTCATACGCAGATATGCATCGGCCTGTCATCCAGCTACGCTAAACTTCAGTCGCCATGCGAGTGTAATGATTACGTTGACATTATTCAACTAAATAATATTTGCATCTGATCAGATGCATTAATTATGAAATAACAATTTTATCTACAAACCTGATCTAAAATGCCAATGAGTGAAGTCGATATTTTAGATACCTTGTTATTCCTCCACACAAAGCCAGTAATGACTCAGGGCAAGTTTATTCAATAATAATACCCCGACAATCGCAAGCTGTGCTTATTTTGTAAAATAAAAATGTAATGCAAGATCGATCAGAATATAGCGCAAGCTCATGAGTCTGGCAACATCGCTACAAATTCTAATGCGGTAAAGTTGACTCCGTTGAAAAATGAACGTTGACTCCGCGCCGTAAAGATCTCCAAGTGTCCCTACATTAGTGCTGTATGAAGTCGTTACTGGGTATTGTATCTATACACTACTGCTTATATCTATTGAAATAGATATAAGGGGTAGTGCAATGTTGGGTAAGTTGTGTTATTAAAATAGATGTAAGTAGTAGTGGAATGTGCATTGAGTTAAATTCTCAATTGAGTATTGTGCCACTGTGTATTCGCGCTGTTGTGGGAGAGTGTAGACTGCATAAAATTTCAGTCGTCTTTGCACACCGATCCAGCCATAAAGGCTAGTCTAGGACTCACCCAACATGTCACTGTATTCATTGCATTTCTTCAATTTTATAACTTCAAGTTTGCTTATTTAGACAAGAATTGGCCGTTAATGGTTAATAATGTTGACCAGAATTAATCTTATCACTTTTAACTGAATAAATGTTATAATCGCCTATTCTTTTTGGAGGGAGGGGGCTCTGACATATATTAATTACGATCATGATTATTTACCTAAATGGAATTATTTACTCCTATTATTATCTACTCCTACGATTTCCATTTGCTCGTAGATTTCCATTTTCCTAATTTCCGCAGAATCTCTTGAAATATCTAAAAGTGCAGTAGTGAAGTTAGTCTCCGCCATTTATGAGATGCACATGAAGATAGCTCTGAACCCCATTATAATTAGTGTTTCCTGTTTAGTTGGGCCAACCTCAGTTATTTTAATTAGATCGTCATTGCCAAATCCCATTGTATAATCTTTGAGCTAAATATTTCTGCGTTCTTCAAGCAACATCTAATTTTTTGCAGCAATCGTCACCTTACATTTACCTCACCTAACCACAATCGTACCTTTATCATCTTTGACCGCACTATATCAAACCCACTGATCATTCTACTTCATACTAGGCTCATCAAAATGAATTTAATAGTTTCACCTAAATAATTATCATCCCATAATTATTTGGCCACTCATTAGATAGCTACCTGCCAAACGAGATATATTGCATACCTCTGCAACCTCCCGCATTGGTCATTTATTAGTTTAGGACGAAACAAGGCGAAACTTTTGAACCCAATGAATAAAACGACAGTTCTACAGATACAGAAAAGCTCAGTGAATAAAGATAATTATTATGCTCCACATTTTTGCCATCTACTAATGGCCCTAGAACTTTTTGACGATACTTTTAAATACACCTTCTACATCACGACTGCTGACAATCAGCGACAAATCAAATCTATACAGTATCAGAGCGTGTGTTATCTTTCTGCACATAATTGCGGCAGATCATCTAGATAAATGGCTCCTAAATTTTTGCAATCGAGTATCACTTATAGGTCTTGAACGGTCGTCGCATTGACCACGTACCCTCCGTGTTCTCTACCAATCAACACTTGATATAAGCCGCCGATAGAATGTTAAGGCTACTTGTGCATTTCCTATCACACTTTACCTTGGCAGTGAGCCCCTCATCTACGATAGTTTGCAGGGCCGCACGACTGATGGAGGTGTAGGCTAACACTTGTTGCCTGTTCGTGACAAGGCGATCCAGTAGGATTATCTTGCTGACGTCGTCCAGGCGTCGAAGTAGATTCGTGCTGTTAAAAATCCATGTTATTAATCCTTATATTCATTTTATAACTATATTTTAGAGCATGTTGATGGCGCGCATTTCAATTCCAAAATGAACACTTTAAATTTTATACGTTTAGCACGTTGTATCATTTCCAGTCGCTTGATAACGTAACCTATGCATTTATGATAGCAACGTGTTATCTATATTTATTTGTACCAAAGGGAAACCGAAATGATTATACTAACTGGGGATCTGATGTTATATTATCATTTCTGTCCATTACTCTCCGCCTTCCATTTCTCCTAGTCATCACACTCTTCCAACTTTAATGAGCAGCGAGTTTTAAGGATTCGTGTATGTGCATCTTCCACCAATTTGTACACATATTGTTGGGGACAACCATGTTCGAAATAACTGTTAGGCAGATAAAAGTCTTTTGTAGTTGAGAAAATATAAAAGTTACCACAGCGAAGAATTCATATCCACGATTAGTCACTTAAATGATTAGTCCACTTACGTTCCATTTGATAAATCTTAATCTTTTGTACCAGCGTAACAATCGTTCAGTGTAAAAATACAGAGGTCCCGACTTCTCTCATGTCTACTTTCATGAAGCTACTCTTGTCCGCTCGACCGCAAGGTTCTCAACAGTAAATTCTGCCGTATGTTATGTTAGCTCCTATTTCTAACGGCGCATGACGTATTAAAAGCATACTATTGGCTTTTTGGAAACGATTGATTTACTGCTTGATGCAAAATACACTGAAATGGGAATAAAATCTTGCTTAATAATCACCCGAAGGCCGCAATGATGCAAATTGGCATGCGCTCGATGGCGGAGGGCGTGAGGAGCTGGAAGACCTCCTCCTCACTCTGCGTCAGCATCTCCGTCTCCGAGTAGTTCACGTAGAGGTCCTTGAGAACGTAGCACTAAGGGACAAATGAGTATAAAATTCCTCTCGCTCCTTCATAGTTCGCGAAAGACTTTATTGCTTGTGTGTGAGACTAGTACTTGTGTAGCTTGTTTGCATTTGTGGGACTCATTCTTAGGTAGACTTTGCACTACACCAACATTCGAAACTTGTAGGTATCGAATTTTTACTCTCTTGGAAAATAAATTTATTCTAGTAGAAAATTATCTGATTTACCCAAGCCTATTTATTTTTTGCAATACTCGAGAAATATGTACCTTATCATTAGTATTAATATATACAAACTGATACGAATTAAAAAAAAAGTTTTCCGTTAAAGGCGAGCTGTATAATTACGAGATTCACATTCTTATTTCAGAAAGTAACTGTCGTAAATTCATCGAGTACACTTATTGGTATAAAGGTAAAGTTTTAAGCTTTTTCACTGAAAGAATTCCTTTTAGTTTTCAATATATAAAATTCATCTATATTTGTACGTACCCAGTCTAATTTTTCGTTCCATTAGGGGGCATCCCAGAGTACACATAGTCGGCTTAGGGGCGAATCTGGAGTTAATCAGCTGCACAAAATTAGCTACTAGACACCTTCATGTAGTCATGCCTGTTCTCGTTTCAACTACACGGGCAGTCGGCAACGTAAAATTGTCTGCATAAGCACGCCCCATTAAACGCCTGAGCTTGACTCTCTCTCGCCGTAAATCTTTGTGACATCTTTCTGAGTAATGTACACTGGAATTTATTAGCTAATTAACTGAGTAATGTACACTGGAATTTATTAGCTAGTTAACTACTGACCACCCTAATTCTTGATTTACCTCGTTCTGGCATTCATGAAGGTTAGGTTTGGCTAGGTTAGGTTAGGTCATTTAATCAAGTTTTGTTCATGATGAGTAAATATTCTGTTTTTATGTTTTCTATAGTCCAGTTATTTTGATTAACTACTTATACTATTTATTTTCCTACAGTTCTAATTTGTCTGCCCATGCTCCATAATTCCCTGGTTTTATTACGTTGTACATTACCTGAATCTTGCATTCTGATTATTAATATAATCTGCAATCTTCATTTATTATTATTCATGGCATTTACGCTTATAATTTAGTTGCCTGAGAGAAGCAAGTAGGTCTTTTAGGGTTGACCTCACCCGCAATTGTGCCGTCGACAACATGAGCTTAGAAACAATATGGTTTCATTTTAATGATTCAGGCAACCTCATCCTATGTGACCATGTTATTTTGGATTATAGAAATTAGGTTGCGCTTAGTTCTTTTTTTAGGGCATACGGTGAAATGATTGTAATATGATTTTGATGATTATCACTCGTGTTACTTTTGTAGACTGCGTGTGTTAACTCTTACATACTCTAGCCCAGTGGTTCCAAAAGTGGGCGATAGCGCCCCCCTAGGGGCGGTGGAAAAATTTTGGGGGGCGGTAAGGAAGAAGAGGGCGTTTGGGGCGCCCCCTATCGCCCCGCGATAGGGGGGCGGTAGTCCTATGTCGAAGTCAGAAGTTCGAACGTTTGTTTGGCGATTTGTACACAACACGTGCAGCACATCATGACACCCAGCGATGTTTTTTCACCCAGATCTGCTTTTTTAACAACTCTTGGGTTCACGTCTCGGACAAATTAACGGCCGGACTCGCGGCCAGCCGGCCAATTTCCAATTCAATGTTCAAGTAATATCTCTCAAACTAATGAACTCGATGAAACTTGGCACACGTATTCATTAGGACCTAACGGTAATGTTAAGCTCATGAATTTTTTTAAATTTTGCCTTCATTTGTTTTTGCCATAGTTATATGGCAATACGGGCCGAAATTCACATTACCGGGTAATCAAGAAATTTTTTTTCCAAACTATTGAGCAGATTCTAACGAAATTTTGAATTTACAGTCGTAACTACCGAACGTTAATGAAATGAAAAGGCTAATGAAAATTTATACGATTGTGCCTTTGTTCGCGAGTTTTTTTCCATTTCACCTTCATTCATGATTTAAACAGCAATACGTGCTTAAATTCGCAGTAATCAAGAAATTCCTTCCCCAATTACTGAATGGATTTGAACGAAACTTAGTATTTAAATACCTAACCTCAGCAAGGGTGATGTTTAGCTCGCTACAATTTTTTCCTTTTGCCTTCGTTTGCGAGTTATACGGCTATACGTATACGGATATACGTAAACGGCTCTTGGTTAAACTGGCCGGTAGAAAAGCCGGTCGTTCCTCCTATATCTGTATAACTCGCGAACGAAAGCAAAATAGAAAAATTGTCGCGAGCTAAACATCACCGTCGAAAGGTTAGGCATTTATATACAAAGTTTCGTTGAAATCTGTTCTGAATAGTTTAGAAGAAATTTCTTGATGGCCGCGAATTTAAGCGACAAATTATCCGGCGATACGGGTCGAATATAAGGAAGTGTGAAATCAAGAATGACTGTGAAATGAAAAAAAAAACTCGCAAACGAAGGTAAAATCGAAAATTTTGAAAGCCAAAAAAAAAAAAATCAACGCTTGGTAGTTATTAAAGTATATTCAAAATTTCGTTCAAATCTGTTCAGTAGTTTGGAAGAAATTCTTTGATCACTGCGAATTTCGGCCTTTATCGCAATATAACTCACGAATGAAAGTGAAATCTGAAAATTTTTACGAGCTAAAAATTCAACGTTAGCTTCCGATGAATATATGTTCCAAGTTTTCTTGAGCTGCGTTCATTAGTTTGGGAGATATTACTTGATAATTGAATTTGGAGATTGGTCGTGCGACTGGCCACGACACCCGGCCGTGAATTTGCCCGAGACGTCCTAGGTTTCTAGTGCTGAAACAGCTAAAAACAGCTTAAAAACATTTTGCTTCACAAAATGGGGTTCTATTTGTGAAATACACATTTGTGTTTAACATTTATCTATTAAAATTGTAGCGTACTAAATTTCAAGAAAGAGGCGTATGTTTTTATATGTGTCTGTGGGGGGCGCTAGAAGTTCACTAGGGAGCCATAGGGGGCGCCAGCCTGAAAAAGTTTGGGAACCACTGCTCTAGCCCCTCAATGTGCTAAGTCATCGTGTGGCCAGGCTACTGCAAAGCTGAGTCCTTGTTGGATAACTCTAGGGTTTGAAAAAAGAACGATAATGCCACTGAGTGCATAAGGATTGCTGCTGGGTTAAGCGCTCTTGTTTTTAATGAGCCCACGAGGGCTGGATAATTTTAGAATTTATGGTATTTCCGATAGATAATGTCAATGAGTTGAACGGGACATGTACGATCATCCCGCGATTGAGTTTAGTGACTCTAAGATGAGTCACCGTAAGGCTAGGTTTTGGAGGGATTAAGTCACAGTGAGGTAAGTTAGCTGATTTCTTTGCGTTTGGTGCCTGAGCGTTTAGATTTAGGCGGCTATTTTGTGGTGCCTCGTTAGTCCCATAACAGCTGTGTCACTGATAATTCTCATTAGTGTAACCCTCTAATCTCGGATGTGTTACCCCAATTTTGCATCGTTGGTGATTTCTATTATATTCTGAATGTTTATAAAAGGCTGGATCTGTGTCTCAAAAGCATTAAATAAGACGGTATAGAGCAAGATTGACTCATCGAAGCCAAATTACGGCAACAAATTAAGTTCTTGGCCCGACCCTTTTGAGCCCTCTAAAAGAGATATAATGGCCCTAAACCTGAGAGTTTCTTGCTTATTCATGTTTAGTTACCGCACGGCTTACACTCTGCTTAGAATTTTAACCGGGTAGAGAGTAAATCTATGTACATAATGTCAATGGTGAGGCTGGGATCTGTCGCAGTGAGATTAGGTGATCTTGGAACGTTAATAATATCGAACATATTTTTCATCGCAATCTGTTGTCTTTGGTCTTATGGAGCATTGTTTATAGGTCTTTATGAAATGTGTTTTTTTTTCTGGCTTTAGGCAACTCTGGATTTCAAGTCATGCCTTCAGTCTGCGGTGAAGTACTCCACTTACCGCCTGGCGTGTAGGGAAGCCGTTCTTCATGTACTCGAGCTGCTCGACGACGTTGGAGGTCGGGATGTTCCTGGCGTCCTCTGCCTGCAGGAACATCGCCCAGTTGGCGTCTTTTGTCATGTTCACTGCATTTATGAAAAGCCGGCTTGATATTCTCAGGCCCTGGTGGAGAAGTTATCTGTGTCAATCAATAACCTTAAGTAATGCAGCCACTAGTAATGAAAATATAATCCGTAGAAATCAGGCTAACGATTAGATAAATGTAAACTGATAAATTCCAAAAATGATATTATTCAAAAGTTTATTGTAAATTTATGTCAGAAATCTTGCTCACTTAATGAAACGACTCACAGCTGCGCTGATTTAGGCTGCTTAAAATCAAATAACAGATCAGGTAAGAATAATACTGTATTTCTACCAATAACACTGATTGCACAAGTTACCTAACCGCTGTTCTCAGTGTTCCTGGCAATTATGCTAGTATGAGCATATGGACTGCGTACCATCTTTGATGTAGGGGGCATGCCGTAGGCTGTCTCCTTAAAGTATTCGAAGTAATAGTCATAGAGATTCTTTATGGGGACTGCCTCCTTGGCGTTGCCAGAGATGTCCTTCACCCAATATGTCGAAAACTGTATAAAATATAATTTCACATTATTTAGTAAGCCTACTGTCTAATGATGTGAATTTGATTTAGAAGACATCGAATCGAAACTGTGGATCAGAGACTTAGGCCGCGCTCTTCGTTCAGTCGTTACCAAGAATTCCGGTGACAGGCAACCCATATCTGAAAACCGTCAACTGGCTGAAAATCGTCGTTCCATGTTCAGCTGGGTTTTGAGTTGGCGACCGCAAGCAGCGGTCGCAAGCGGATTGGATAAGGCAAGCGGAATTATTAATATTATATTATATATTATTTTATATTATTTATATTATTATATATTATTGGCAAGCGGAATTATTGGATCGAATATTGTTAGCCACTGAAATCACTGTTTATAGATTTATAAGAAGAAAAAAGTTAACGTTGGTTACGTAATATTCGTATCAAGTTTCCAGAATATTTGTGCATGTCAAGGTTTATAATTCCTAGGGATTGGTTCTTATGTACAGTTTTGCTGTGGTTGAGCGGAGCTGTTTCCAAGATAGCGTATGTTGTACTGGCTATAGGGTCTCAAGTAGCAAGTCTATCCCTGAATTTCACCACACTGAGCATTGGAAGACCACGAACCCTGTCTGGTGTTTTCGGCCACCAGTTGGATTAAAAAGCATTACCTTCTTTTATAAAATATGTTCTAGGACTTTTTTTCAGTGTCATTTTCCAAATTATTATTACTTGTTTGAAAAGATAATACATTGTTGTTGTTTCCCGAGAATTTGGAAAAGATAACTTTTGCACTAAGAAACGAACCCAAGGAAGCCAGAGCTTCAACTGATGACTGGATGCTTTTTTATACTTCAAGCTCCGTTTGTGGACTGTTCTCAAAGCTCCTGCTGTGTTTCCTTGTACTCGAATGATGTTCAGACAGATAATGATATCATTCATGTACTGGAATGATGGTTAACACTCTTTGCGATTGTCGCTCATGTATGATTATATCGGACTAATGGTAGAAAACTACTATGTAATGACATTACTTTGCTTTTATGTGTACTTGTGTTTCATGTTTATTATTTTTTCAAATTTGATTGATATTATTGCGTGTTTATTTAATACGAGTCAAACAAATTCATTTCACTAGGTGAACAAGTAAATTAATTTTATCTGTAACCCCACTTCCCAAAATAGTTGAATATTGATTGAGTTCTCACACACATTTTTTTCTCGTTTGGGGCACATGATACATTATGAAATATTGCGGTCAGATAATAAAAGTACCTAGACCAGGGTGCGCGATATGACCCATATGTTAGTTCAGCTATTAAAGTCACTTGTTTGCTTAGATCGCATGTTAACCAGCAATTTAGAAGCAAATGCATTACCCAAAAATTCACCATTTATTTATAAGAGAAAATGTTTTGGAGTCCAGGGCCTATACTTTCAAAAAAAGTTAAGAGATCGTAAGTTCATCAGCCAATCATTGACGGCCTTTCAAGCAAAATCCACCAATCACAGACAAGAAAATAGAGCGTAAGTACTTACGTTCATTGACGGCCTTTCAAGCAAAATCCACCAATCACAGACAAGAAAATAGAGCACAAGTACTTACGTTCACTTAGCGAGTTTTGAAAGTATGGCCCCAGCTCCAGTGCCAGTTCATAACACAAAGTTCAGTTCAGAAGAATTTCAGACCTAGAAACACAAATGCAATCAAGTAGTAAAGAAAATTAACTGTCAGGTATTAAGACGGAAACAAGTAAATGAGACATGAAATGAACGCTAGTAAACGGTCCTATCTATTCATTATACCAAGAGAAAAAAGCTACAAGCGGCATTCAGACTAGGCTTCTGTTTGAATATATACAGGGATTCTAAAATTTGTAGATCAGTAACACTGGATGTGGAAGTTAGAACTTTAAAATTACTATCAGATACATAGGTGCTGCACTTCTCGAAATGAACACGTACAGCAGAATGAGGAGGATGTGCAAGTAGCTTCACAGTTCCATAAATCCTCAGCCAGCCTAGTATAGAAATTGCGTGACGTCATTCCGCATACGCAGATGCGCACTACGCACAACTATATTTGTAAACTATCTGTATAATAAAGAATAACAGGAAGGGTATCCTTATAGCTGGAAAAAGAGCAATTCTAAATTTGTTAACCAACAACACATGAAGATTTACATCCGGAAGGTATTTTGCGAATAAAGCCTCTTATTCCCATGACATACTCTCAGATGCGGGGCCAAAGTAGGAAAAAACAGTAAACAACGTTCTTATTGTCACACTTGAGAACGACATCAGTGTATTGCTTGGACATAAACTTGTTAATTTGGGTAAACACCAGGTGCGATGGAAAGCCATTTTGCGAAAAATAATGTGCAAAAATTCAAATTTCTGAGAACATGGCTAGGAAAGTAGAGCAAATGCGGAAGCTACGGTTTATCAATGTTTGGATCCCATGCAATTTGAAACGAAATAAACACAAGCTAAAAAGGCTAGTGATTAAGCCAGTGAATGTCGATTTTTCTAAAAACTGAAGTTTGGAAACTGCCATCAGATTTGGTAACTTTGCAGTCAAGGAAAGACAAACTATTGTTTGATTCAAGCTCTATTGTAAATTCGATAGACTTATGTTGGAGATTAAGATAGTCAAAGAAGAGGCCAACATGAGAGGGATGCTTATAAATAAAAAAAGTATCATCAACATATCGGTAATAGAATGTTGGTTTAAAATCAAGATGACCTACTCCGAAAAGCTGCAAAGAGTTCTTTGGACATTAACCTTATAGTAAAATGCAAAGTTTTCGGTGCAATTTCTAAGTTTCTGAGGTGTTGACTTTACAAACGCTGCCTTCACACATCCTAATTTACAAGTCATGGTAGAGCAAGCTTCTTTCCAGGGAATTATCTTCTAAGAAGAAGGCCTTTAGAGATTTAACCGACTTGGTCACCGTAGGTGAAGCTTAAATTGGACATGTATTTTCCATTTTCGATGCATTTGCTATCCATCAACATCCCATACGTCTAACTAGAGCATTCAATAAAACTATCCGCCAGGCCCATCAGAAGAAACTTTATACCCTAGGTAGTCATAATGAAATTCATCCGTGTAACCCTAAAAAGTCGTTTTAAGTTATAATTCATACAGCCAGGAACCTCTAATCAAGTACTTGGACTTGATTTTTGTTTGCCTGCTTTTAAATTAGATTTTCATACTGTTAGTTTTTTTTGGCTTTTGAAATACTTGCTCTTAGCATAAAAATGTTTCCATTACAAACCATCATTAGTTTCCTGGCAATTGGTAAAGTTTTGCTTCCCGTCATTTTAACGGCTTAAAATTTTCTCATGTTTTTCAGGTGCTTGACATCCATTTATTGAGAGACTTAGCCAAAAATAAGGATTTTATCATTTGTAAGCCAGATAAGGGCAAATGAGTAGTATTAGTTATCGTAATCGTTATAACAGTAGCCTTACTAATCTTGTCACCGACCCTTCTAAATTTAAAGAAATTACTGAACCAATCGCTAAACTAGTTTTGAAGGTGGAGGGCAAAACTAATAATTTACTACGAAAACGTAAAGATTCCGCTGCACTATCATTTGAAACTTACTTTAAATTTCTTGTCTGTGGCTCAGGCCCCGGTATTTTGTATGGTTTGCTCAGAATTCATAAACCAGATTTCGATGTGAAATTTCGATTCCGCCCAATTTTTGTTGCTTATAATACTCCTAGTCTCAAAATTTCAAAAGTTTGATTCCGCTTATGAACTGTCATACGACCGACCAACATACTGTGGACAAGACTTACATGTTCGTAGATCGCCTGAAGAGTCTTTACAATGTCCAGGAATTGACTATATGGCTTCCTTTGATGTAGAAAATTTATTTACTGAAATACCTTTTGCTGAAACCATTGATATATGCGTCAATTCATTGTTTAAAGATGTCAATGACCTTGTCATGAGTTTTAACCGCAATTTTAACAAATCTATACTTGAATTATCTATGCTAAACTCAATTTTCATATTTGCTGGCAAGTTTTATACGGACAGATTGACGGTTTGGGCATGGGGCTTCCACTCGGCCCTACCTTTGTCAATATTTTCATGTGTTTTCACGAGGGTACTTGGTTGGCCGTTTGTCTTCTTATCCCGTAGATTTTAAACCAATTTTATATAACCGATATGTTGATGATACATTTTTTATTTATAAGCATCCCTCTCATGGGGGCATTTTCTTCGACTATTTTAATCTCAAACATAGTCTATCATATTCACCATGGAGCTTTAATCAAACAATAGTTTGTCTTTCCTTGATTGCAAAGTTATCAAATCTAATGGCCGTTTCCAAACGCTTTTTTAGAAAATCCACATTTACACGCATTAAGCCACAACTTTTTTAGATTTTGTTCTTTTCGTTTCAAAACAAATGGGATCCAAACATTGATAAACATTGGCTTCCGCATTTGACCTACTTTCCAAGCCTTGCGCTGCATTTTTTCACAAAATGGCATTCCATCGCACCTGGTGTTTATCCAAATTAAAAAGTTTATGTACAAGCAATATACTGATGTGGTTCCCATGTGTGACAATAGAAACGTTGTTTAATGTTTTTTCCCTACTGCCCTGTCAAAATTAAAAGCAGTATTAGCCGGACTGGCGCCCAACCAAGAGCATGATAGAAGAATGGGTATAGTAGAAAACTAGCAGGAACGTCTACCTATTAAGGGGTTCAAAATGGTCAGCGTAAGGCCTTATTTGGGCGCTGGCGCTCGGCTGCAACGAATCACTCCTGCCGGGCTCCGGCTCACTTACTGCCTCCACGCATCATACGCTGCCCAAAACCTGCTCTCTTCAGGCTCATTTTATTTTCTTTCAGGGATAACTAAAAAGTTCTGTCCACGCAATTAAACGTTTATTTGAATTTTTTTGGCACAATTACATAAGTTATACAAAAAAATGATTTGGCCGAAACACAGCTTAGAGTGTGATATATGCTACTGGCTTTATGCTCTATGCATCATCCA